GGCTATTGTTTGCCCCATGCACCCTCTACCACAAACCCTAAATGGGAAATTAAGCACAATAAGCAATAACTGTTGGTTATATTTTTACTTTGTTAAATGTATCTGAGCAGAGAAGCTAAGACTTCCATATCCATACTGAGCCCCAACATATCATTGCACCATTCCCCCCAGGCTTCCCAGCCCTGAAGAGAGATGATTTCTTGTGCTATTTAAAACAACATTCACACATCAAGAGCAACACAACAACTAACAGTACAATTCAGTTCACAGTTCAATGTGCACAGGGAGGGGGAGGGCTCTGCAGTAACTATTTCTCATCCAGATGAAGCTGGCACTATGGAAGTTACGTGCACCACATAGGACACAGCAAATAACAGTGCCCTATATATATAAAAATTCACACATAACAATACTAAATAAAACATTAAATACAAACAAATGTGCAAATACATTTAATTTCATCTTATAAACTCTTTCCTTCTGTTTGCCTGAATGTTATGGAAGAAGTCAACCAAACATCTAGAGGAAGGTTCATCCTCCTTGGTCTATCCGATGTCCCGTATCTCCAGGTCATCTGTTTCCTTGTGTTCCTTGTGATGTACATAGTCACATTGTCAGGAAACCTTCTACTGATCATCGTGGTGAGGCTCAACCCCAAGCTACAGACCCCCATGTACTTCTTCCTGAGTAACCTCTCCATTATTGATATCTGTTTCTCATCCACCATTGTTCCCAAACTCCTCATAAACACTCTGACCAAGGATAGAAGTATCTCCTGGTTGGGATGTGCATTACAGATGTACTTCAGTCTGGCTTTAGGATCAGCAGAGTGTTTCATACTAGCCGTCATGGCCTATGACAGGTATGCTGCCATCTGTAGACCATTGCACTACAACATCATCATGAACAAGACGTTGTGTATTAGTTTAGCCGTGGGGTCCTGGGGTATCTCCTTCATGAACTCTGCCATACATGTTGTCCTCACCTTCCAACTCCCTTTCTGCAAGTCCCACCACGTCAACCACTTCTTCTGTGAGATACCGCCTTTACTTCGATTATCCTGTCGAGACACTTTGCGCAATGAGATAGCCACGTACATCTCGGCAGGGATCATCGCTATGTGTTCTTTCTGCTTGACCCTGACCTCATACGTCCACATCATCTCCACCATCCTGAAGATCCGTTCCTCACAAGGAAGACACAAAGCATTCTCCACATGTGCTTCCCACCTGACCGTGGTGGTTCTCTACTACGGGACCATCATGTCTATATATCTGAGACCCCGCTCCACCTACTCTCCTGAAATAGACAAAACCGTGTCCATTCTCTATACGGTAGTGACACCGATGCTGAACCCCGTCATCTACAGTATGAGGAACAAGGACGTCAAAGACACAGTCAGAGGAACACAAACAAATTAATTTCTCAAACACGCAACTTGATAAAGCAAATTTGATAGCGTTCAATATAAATATACAAGAGGCCACAAAAGCAGGGAGCTCAGGTGACCACTGGGAGTGTAGATTGCGGCTCATAATGTTGTATTTTTACTATATGAATGAATAATATGCTAAAAAGTATTTGAAGAGTCTGTATAATGATTGCATTGCACACAATCCACTTTAATATGCAAAGAAAAAAAAAATACTATATACAGGGGCGTAACTAGAAATCACAGGGCCCCATAGCAAAATTTAGTATGGGGCCCCGTGATTTCTAGTTATACCCCTTGCAGAGCCCACTCGAGATCCCACCTGAGGGTGACCCTGCAGAGCCCACCATATC